ATTAGTTGATGATATTTATATGACTAACAGTTGATTAATTAAGGTCTTAACTGAAAGATACCTATCAATTAACATAATAATAATAATAATAATAATAATAATAATAATAATAATAATAATAATAATAATAATAATAATAATAATAATAATAATAATAATAATAAAAGAGAGTTGTATGCATTACTAGGGGTGTGCGCGGGTCATAAACCCGCGGGTTCTATCAAAACCCGCCTTCGTCCCGTCAAACAACGTTCTTGATTATGAAGAACTAAACTTGTGGGTTTTCAACGGGTTTACGATAGGCGGATACACGGCGAGTTTGTAGTAGGACCCAACCTTTACGAGTCGAAACCCGTTATCGTCTAAACCATTTTTTTCATATAATTTATAAGTTTTACGGGAGAATAATTAGAAACTAAAATAAATAACCTAAAATCTTATACTGAAAGCAAACATAAATAATGTAACTGTCAAGTGTAAAGAAAAATTAATACAAGTCTTAACCATAAAATCCACTATAACACTAAAAATAACTAATTCAGAACTTAAAAGACAAAATTTAAATAAAATAAATATAGAATTTTCAAGCATAACTAAAGCCATTCAGCTCCATTCAACACCATTTTCTTCCTTCTTTTTTTTTTTGCCGTGTGTTGATTGTTGTATATATATGTTTTTTTCCTACGTTTTCTTATAGATTTTCATAATCTTTATAGGAATTACTTCCACAATTATAATTTAGTTTATTTATGTATTTGATATACTAGAGATACTTTATATATTCATCAATATTATTAATTTATTATATTGTATAATATAAACAAAACGCCGTCGTTTTGTATGGCGGGGCGGGACGGGTTTCACGGGTATTAAAAAAAATTGAACCCGTCTTAGACCCAAGCCCACGGGTCTTGACCATTTTAGGACCCAATCCTATGGATGGATCTATCCGTCCGGTCCCAACGAAGCGGTTTTTCACGGGTTTGACGGGTGTAGCGGGTTAATGGGTCCGGGGCGATTTTTCACGGGTTTGACGGGTGTAGCGGGTTGATGGGTCCGACTTGCTCACCCCTATGCATTACCCCCTTCCAGTTTTTTTATCTAATTTTTTACCCTCCCAAAAGATAAAGCGGGCTTCGTCAAGGTCAAAAAGGGTGTTATCAGGCCACTCCCTAAGAACGAAAGATAGAGCAGGCGTCTTCAAGAACCTTAAAATTATTTTATCATACCTGAGGGGTGTGGGTGATTTACACTAAAACTTAATATGCTAAATATATTGAAATTAAATAATTGAGAGCATATCACCATAAAAAAATCGGAAATAGATGCATAATTAATATTAAGAACTTTGTCAATATAACTAAAAATAATTTTCACGATTGATCAATAAAATTTGGGCCTTCATAGCTTGTTAAACATCAAGATATCATCATCACTTGTCATCTCTTGCTCGGTTATTTTCCTATATTAATATGCATATATAAAGTCATAAATAAAAACGTTCATATAGTGAAAAATTGTATATATATTCAATGTATTAATTTGAAATGTTAATTTCTCTTCCAACACCCAGTCAAAAAAATTTAAAATTTGAACACCGCTCATTTCTCATTTCTACGGTTATAGATCAAAAGAGCATTTTGATTGTGAAGAGTTATTACATGAGAAAGAAATAAAGAATAAAATGTAGTTGTCAATCGTTTAAGTAAACATCTGCTACGGTGAAAGCTACATGAATTAAAAATCAGTTTCCAAATAAAAATACAGTGTAAAAAAATGATCAAGATACCATGCCGTTAAACGTTTACCAAAGCAGCTGCTA